GGCGTAGGGCTCAGGGTTTAGGGTTTAGGGTTTAGGGTTTAGGGTTTAGGGTTTAGGGTTTGCGTGCAGGCGGAGTTGACTCGAGGGGACGCGTCTCTGGAGCGCAAAATTGAACTTAGTGACAAACAGGCTTCTTGCTTAGAGCGGGCGTTGCCGCTGCTGCAGAGGTTTAGCCCCCAAAGCAAAAGAAGGTAAATTTCACACAGCCAAACCCTAAACCCTAAACCCTAAACCCTAAACGCTTGACTGTAGGGGCCCCACCATGTACGGCGAGAGCGACCGGCGTGCACCCTGAGGCTTCGAAAGCCAGGGCTCAGCGCGCAAGCCTAGGGTTTGGGGTTTAGGGTTTAAGGTCTAGGGTTCAGGGTTTAGGGTTTTGGGTTTAGGGTTTAGGGTTTGGGGCGTGCTTTGAGGGCTTTCAGGAATGATTTGCTGCAGCAGCTAAGGACGACAGTTGAGACTCATCTAAGCAGAATGGTCCCTGAGGCGGTGGAAGCTCGGAAAAGAGTACCCTAAACCCTAAACCCTAAACCCTAAACCCTAAGCGGCAGTAGAAGCCCCAAAGAGATTACTCTTAACCCTAAACCCTAAACGGTTTGAACTTTAAGGTTAGAACGCGAGCGCTCTGTAGACCACCCCACGGCCCCGCCCCAGGGGTTAGGGTTTAGGGTCTGCGCCCAAGGGTTTAGGGTTTAGGGTTTAGGGTTTAGGGTTTGCTGCTGCAGCTGGAGGTTGTGCTGGAGCGCATCAAAGAAATTCAAAAAGAAACCGAAGAGATCTGCAAGAGGGAAATTGGTGAAGAGGCGGAAAGCGACTGAGGGCTGCAGAAGAAGTGGAAAGAAGAAAAAGAAAATAAATCCATTTAATGTGATTTTATATATTGGAATTTGAATATAAAATCAAAATTAAAAACACATTTAAACTCAACTAGATCACGTTGTTGCATTTAAACCGGCAGCGACTCATACAGTTTTGCTGAGTTGCACAAAACCCGTTTCTAGATATCTTTCTTTCCCGAAACTTTTGGCTTTTTGAATTAAAATTAAAAATACCATTTTTAAACAACTTGGAACGATTTAAAATCAAAACAAATGGTGTCATTACAGCTCAATTCCATTTTGAAAAATAGAAGAAGTTCATGTTTCACCTATATGCCTACACAGCGATGCAGAGAAGAAAAACTAGAAGGCTCTAGTGCACACTGAAGTGCTGCGGTAAAATTAGTCAATTTGTTCTAATTTAATTATTATTAAATCATTATTCCAATATTATTCAAATATTATTCAAATAAATCTATTTTTGATTCAAAAATTCATTCAAAACACCAGCAGAACTGCACCGGGCGGATAAGAAATGGGAACAACTCTTGAAATGGAACTCCAGCGAAGGATATTGCAAAGAAAGCCCTTGAATGAAAGCAATTAAATAATCTTTTAGATTTAATTTTATAATTCAGATTTAATTTCATAATTCAAATTCAATTACCTAATCTTGAGGCGAAAGAAAGAAGAAGTACGCTGCTGCACTTGCACACAGGTCACCTGGAGTGAGTGAGATCAGCAAATTGCAACGGGCCAGGGCTATATAAATGTAGACGGAAAGCAGATAAATAAATATAAAAAAGATAAATATAAAAGTAATAGATTTAATAAAGATTTCAAAACGAAAGAAATGCTTTTTGAAAGTGCTTAATCAGTTCCAGTTGGGCTGAGCTTCGGCTGCAGCACACAAAGAGGCTGTTGAGGGGGAAAAGACGAATTTCTGGTTTTTAAAGCTTTCTGAAATTTTTAAAATTCATCGAAACGAATTAAAACAAATCAGAAGAAATTAAAACAAATTAAATATTAAAAGTTAATTAATATGAACGTTTGGAGCAGTTCAAGCCCCGAAGGTCACCTATCGTGGGGGAGTCGCGCGAGCAGCCGCGCCCGTCCTGTGCGGGAGCAGCAACGTGAGCAAGTGTTGAGCAGCTTCATTTCGCGGTGAAACTGGTCTAAAAAGTGGAAAACTTGGATTAAAAGTGCTTTATTTTGAATTTGAATTGCAAATTGATCGCAAGTTTGTTCAAAAACGAGAATGAAACTCCAATTTTCCGCAGTTTCGCTCCTCCTTGCACTGGCCGCCGCCGCCGCCAACGCCAGGATGATCCACCCCTTCCAGCCCCAAACTGAGGCCGATCTCGCCCCTCGTTATGATTATATTGGAGAACTTTTTCTTAATTTCATAAAAGAACAACTCCTGGAGGACGGCGAGCTCAGCCTGCCCATCCGCTGAGCAGCAGCAGCAGCAGCAGCAGCAGCCGCAGCAGCAGCAGCAGCAGCAGCAGCAGCAGCAGCAGCAGCAGCAGCAGCAGGTAAAAAAGCAGCAGGTAAAATCGCAGGGGCTAATTTGTGCTGCAGCAGCCGAATGGGAAGACCAGAAGACCTGCAGAAGAAACGAGTTCAAAATATGAATTAAAAAGATCTTTTAAAATAAAGTAAAAAGATCTTTTTAAATAAATAAAAAGATCTTTTTAAATAAATTGAAAGGATCTTTAAAAAGAGATTAAAAAGATCTTTTTGTTCGTTTTGCTGATGCAGCAAACTGCAGCAAAAGGTGCAGCAGGTCACCGCTGAACAGGTTCTCTCGCAAACAGCGAGAAGGATTAAAAGGTTTATTTCTTTTTTCAAATCAAATATTTAAAAAAGAAATTAAAATATGTTTAAAAAGAAATTTAAAAATATATTTAATTAATGAATTAGTCCATTTAAAGCTTTCAAAAAGTTTAGTTTGCTGCCAGCAACTGGAAATGAGAAAAAACGCAAAAGTTCTGCTGCTGCTGCTGCTGCTGCTGCTTGTCTTAGCTAGTTGCTGCTGCTTGTCTTAGCTAGTTGCTGCTGCTTGTCTCAGCTAGCTGCTGCTGTTTATCTCAGCTAGCTATTTCTGTTTATCTCAGCTAGCTGCAGCGGCAAAGCCCTTCCGTTTTGGCTAGCTGCTGCTGCTGCAGCAGCAGCAGAGCCCCTATGTTTTGGCTAGCAGCTGCTGCTGCAGCTGCTGCAGCTGCTGCTGCTGCAACTGTTGCTGCTGCAACAGTAAAGCCCCTCCGTTTTGGCTAGCTGCTGCTGCTGCAGCTAGCTAGCCACAAGCCGGACTTGGCCCCAGCTTGCTGCGGGAGAGAAGCTACTGCGTTGGTTTATTTGAAAAATAATTTAATTTAATTTAATTTAATTTAATTGATTTAATTAATTTGATTTCATTTAATTTAATTTTTTTTAAATTTAATTTAATTGCGAAATCTGCAAACAGCTGTTTAGGGACCAGCCTCCAGAAGGCTCTCTCCTGATTCTTCTGTTGCTGCTGCTGATTAGACTGAGAGCAGCAGCAGCTGCTGCAGCAGCAGCAGCAGCAGCTGCTGCTGCTGCTGCTGGTGCTCGCGGAGAAGCAGAACCTTCTGCTGCAGCGCTCCTGCGGGCCCCCACGAAAGTGCAGCAGCAGCATGCAGCAGCGAAAGTCCTCACTAAATGAATTTGCTGCAGCAGCTGCTGCAGCAGCTGCTGCAGCAGCGAATTATTTCTCTGAAGATTTATTTCTTTTTAGTTTAAAAAGATTTAATGCTTTTTCAAAAGGCTCAAACCGATCATTTATAATTTTATTTTAATTTTTATTTTAAAATCTTTTGTAATTAAATGAAATGGCCAGCCAGCGCAGCAACAAGACCTTATATTGTGCAGCAGCAGCAAAAAAGATTTTATATGTTTTATTTTGCAATTTAATTATTTTTAATTTCAAAAACTATTTTGAAATAAAATAAACTCATAAAGACGCAGAGTTAAGCTCGCTTTGGTCTTCAACTTGAAAAGAATAAAATCAAAATTTTAAAAGCGTTTTAAATTTAAAACTTTTTAAATATTCAAACATTTTAAATATTTCGTTTTCGAAAAGTTTCTGCAACAGTTAGTGTAGGGTTTGTGAGATTCGCAATGTGGGTTTCAGGCTTTCTTTAGGGTTTAGGGTTTAGGGTTTAGGCTGGCGTTTGGTCTGCCCATGCTGTGTGTCTGGGGCGGGTGTTTCGCAAGTAATTTCTCAATTTATTTTAAATAAAAGATTTAATATTTTAAATTAAATTAAAATGTTTGAATTAAAATATTTATTTCTTTCGCGCGTTTCGTCTACGCTGGTGAGCAGCGGCGCGAGGGCGCAGTGTCTAGACACCCGAGCGGTGCGGCGCCACTGGGGTGTTTCTTTTCGAAATTTTCGGGGAATTCAGAATTAAATTTTGAAATAAATAAATAAATAACATTTTAAACACTTTTTTAATTTAAAATTAAACGACTTTTCCGAAAAGCGAGTTCAAAATGGTTTGAATTGCGTTGCAGTCGCCGCAGCGTGTTCAGACCTCCCTAGACACCGGACCACTCTTGACTCCACTGTGCAAACAAAAAGACTGGAGAGTTGATTTCATTTTTTATTATTTTATTTTGAAAATAAATTATGAAAAGCCTTTTGGAATTAAACTTAGAGGGAGAGAGCCGCGGGATTTGCAATGTACGTACACTGGAAGACGACGGCCGGAAGTTCGCAACTCTCGATTTTTGCAAATCGAAGCTGAGAGCACTTTCTGCGGCACAAAGTGCATTTATTTATGAATTAGTTGATTTATTGATATTAATTTGTTCATATTTATTCAAATTTGTTCATTTAAAAGTCTTGAGAGAAGCCCGAGGAGAGGTTTCGACGGGAGTCGGCCGGTTCAGTTCCGCGGGGTCTGAAAAAAGCTGCTGCTGCGCTGCAGCAGCAGGCGCCGCAGCAGCAAAGGGAACCGGGAGTTGGGAGCGACAAATAAAAGAGTTTCTCGTGGAGAGAACCGCATTAGTGAAGAGCAAAAAACAAGAACTGGAAAGGACTGGCGTTTGGGTTGCGCGGGTGTACGTACACCGGGCGGCGTGCATGCAGGCTGGGGTGTACGTACACCCGCCGTTTCAACGCGGCCCGGCATCAAAAAGAGCGGGGAATTCAAATAAAGTGTTTAATTGTGGTTTGGAAAAGCGCTAAAGGAGGAAAATGGCGAAAGCGAAGAGGGAGTTTTCGGAAAAAGCAACTTGAGCAGTTTCGAGTTTCTGGCGCACTGCGTCGGCCAGCCGCCCCTGCTGCTCCTGCCACAGCTGCTGCGAAAGCCTCTCCACTTCTTCTTCTTTCCATTTGCTTTTCAAATGAGTCAAAAGCAGAAAAGGGTTTTCGAAGTAAACCTCTCTTTTAGCGTTTTCGAGGGCCTTCTCGCGGTGCCGCAAAAACCCCACGAACTCCTCCGCCTCTTCGCCTTTTTTCCAAAACCCCAACTCCAACAAATCCCCAATTGATTTAAACATTTCCAAAACACTTTTGTCATTTTCCAAATACTTTTCTTCCACCTGCAGCAGCCCCGCGAGTCTCTCCGCAGCTTCCGCGGGCACTGCTGCTTCGCCGTCCGCTCCTGCTGCTGCTGCTGCTGCTGCTGCAGCAGACTGCGGCAGCAGCTCCAGGAACTCGCGAAAAGTCATACTTCTTTGTCCTTTGGGCCCCAAATAAAACCCACTCCGGACAGGGGGGCCCCCCAAGAGGGCCACGGGGGGCCCCCCTTCTGCTGCTGCTGCTTCGAGTTTGGCGAGGCTGCGGAGCCTTGCTGCTGCAGCGCAGCAAACGGCCTGCAGCAGCTTCGCGTGCAGCAGAAACTCCGTTTTTTGCGTCTCCGAGGCGCCCTCGCGCGGCAGCAAGCTCCAGATGGCTTCCGTTTGCTGCTGCAGCAGCAGCAGCGCCTCCCGCTCTCCAGACTCTCCCGAAAAACCCGCCAAAGGCGAAAAGTTCTGCACAAAAGCTTCTCGAACTTCTCGAGAAACTCTTTTCCAAGTCACCTGCAGCTCGTCCGCGCTGGCTGCCAGCGCCTGCGCCCACCGCTGCGCGTCTTCGGACGCAGCAGCAGCAGCAGGAGCAGCAGGAGCAGCAGCGGCCGCCGCCGCGACCTGCTGCTGCTGCTGCTGCTGCTGCTGCTGCCGCTGCTGCGCGGCTTTCAGGCCCCCCAGGCACAGCAGCAGCGCCACAGCAGCAAATACGGAAGACCTGAAAATCGCCCTTCGCCGGGGGCTCGGGAAGGGGCCCTTGGGGGCCCCCTCGAAGGCCCAGCTGTTCTGCTGCTGCTGCTGCTGCTGCAGCTGCTGCAGCTCCGGGGGGACCCCCAGGGGCCCCGCGGGACCCCAAGACGCCGCATAGGGGCCCTCCAAAGGGCCCCCGTATGCCGGCAAGTCGTCGGGATTCTCAAAAGTGAAAGAAAAGTGAGTAGAGGCAGTCTGGAGGGGCTGCTGCGTGGCGGGCTCTGGGGTGTACAGACGCCGCGTGGGCGCCACCTGCGCGGGCCTCGCCATGGTGGGCCTCCAGGCGCTTCTGGAGGGGCAATTGGAGTTAAAAAAAGAAAAAAAAAAGAATAAAATTATAAATACATTAAATTAAATTAAATTAAATTAAATTACAGCCAGAAAACGCGGTTTCCGGGGCAGCAGCCGCTGCTGCGCGCCGCGCGCAGCCCCGGGCTGGTCACCCTCTCATGCACAAGTGCCATTGGGACCCGAAATCCCTTTTCCGAATTCAAATTAGAATTCTTTTTAATTTATTTTATTTAATTTATTTTTATTTTCTATTTAATTCAAACTTTGCGCGTCTAATCCCGGCCAGGTGTCGAGACAGCGCGCCGCTGCTCGCCGCCCCGAAGTCCCGCCGGAATTGCTCCCTTGCCTTCTTTTTCCAGAACTCTTTTGCAAAATTCTACCAAATCCACTCCTGTCCAATAACAAAGAACTCCTGTATAAATAGCCTCTTAAAAATACCTTTTTAGTGCAACTTAAACTTCTAGAAAGGGCCCTGGAAACACTTTTCCGCGGAGGCGGCAGGCCTCCGCTGGAGTCGAGGTGTCCATACACCTGAGCAGCACTGTGCAACGCGCCGGCATTCTGGGCGCATTTGGCGGAAATTCAAAAAAAATAAATTCAAAATAATTTATTATTTTAATTTATTACTTTAATTGTCAATTTGCTGCAGACTTTTGGCCCAAATGCACCGCAAGAAGGTGCAGTGTGTGCAGCGGCGCACACACTGCTACTACATATCCTTGCAAGAAATAACCACTACACCAAACGATATCCACTTATTTATTTATTTTAAATTAAATCAAACATTAAATTAAAAACTAATCTGCATTTTAAAATCCTTGTCGCTGCCTTTTACGGCAGACAAGCAGCGTGTCTCTGCTGTCTGTACACCTCAGAGTGTCTCTGCTGTTTGTACACCTCAGAGTTGGCACTGAGGGGGTGCCGCCGTGTAGGAGCGGGAAGTGGCGGAAGTTCTTTGTTTCTGTTGCAATCTTTGCATTAAATGCATTATTCTGGATAAAATAATCAAATAAAATACCTTTTTATTTTAATTATTCAGTTTTAAGATGCTGCATGGTCTGAAAAAGCTCAACGAGCTCACCAGACACCTCACGGTGGCTGCAGAGCAGACCCACGCAGCAGCTTGGCTGCCTAAAATGGACTTTAATTTTAGTTTTTTTAAATTGTAATTAAGTTTAAAAATTATAATTTAATAATAAACCATTCACCATTCAAAGAGTGGCAGCAGCAGCAAAGAAAGAGGCCTGTGTACCCTGTGGTTTGTTTGTTTGAATTTGCTGCCTTTTGCTGCTGCTGCTCTTGTGTCTTCTTCTTCGCAAACTTTGCTGCTGCAGCATCGCCCAATTGCCAGTAAAAGAATTCGCTGCAGGCTGCTGCTGCCGCAGCAGCAAAGACACAAAGGCGAACAGAAAGCTGCTGCTGCAGCAAAGATATAAAAGCGAATAGAATGCTGTTGCTGCAGCAAAGACACAGCAGCGATTAAACAGCTGCCAATTCAGCAAAGACACAACAGCAAATAGAAAGCTGCTGCTGCAGCAAAGATACAGCAGCAAATAGAACGCTGCTGCTGCAGCAAAGACACAAAGGCCAAAATGAGACACAAAAGAATAGAATTATGGCCCCACAGGCCCACTTAACTGGCCCAATTGTAACAAATATATAAAACAATTTAAGAAGAATTAAAAACCAAAAAGATTTCGTTTTGAATAAAAGTGGAAACTACAAGTCCGCAAAGCCATTCTGTCTCAGCCGTATTTTGATGCAGCTGCAGCGAAGTTTATCTACGAAAAAAAATAAATAAATAATAAAGTAAATAAATAATAATACACAAATAAATAAGTAAATAATGAACAAATGATCTATTTCCCTTTCAAATGATGCTGCAGCTGCAAGGCTTGCAGCAGTTTGCTGCAGCGGGAGTTGGCAGCAGCAGCAGCAGCAAATATCGAAATTGGGAAATAAAGGAATTTTAATTTTCTGCAAATTGTCTGTTTAATAAAACCTTCAATTAAGCTTTCAAAAATAAAACTTTGAAGCAAATTAATTTTCAAAAATGAAAATGAAATAAAATAATTCCCCTGCGGGAAATAAACTTCAAAAAAAATTAAATTGTGAAGCAGCAGTTAAATACCAATTCCAAATTTGAAATATTTTTAATACCTAATATAAATGTCTCTGAGGAATCTGGAAAAGCTTGGGAGCTTCTGGTCAACAAAATGGGTTTTTCATTTCTTTAAATGCCATTTATAATTGCCATTTATATATAATTGCCATTTATAATTGCCATTTATACATGCCATTTATATATAATTGCCATTTATAAATGCCATTTATAAATGCCATTTATATATAATTGCCATTTATAATAGCCATTTATGATTGCCATTTATCTATGATTGCCATTTATAATTGCATTTCTAAATGCCATTTCCAAGTGCCATTCCTAAATGTCATTTATACTTGCCATTGTTAATAATTGCCATTAATACTTGCCATTAATAACTGCCATTAATAACTGCCATTAATAAGTGTCATTAGTACTTGCCAGTAAGCATTTAAACAACAACAGAGTGACTGCAGAATAAACCTTTTTTAAAACAGCATTTAATTCGGAATTAGAAAAAATGAAATATAAATTTTGGAATAACTCAAAAGCTGCAAACAATTTCATTTCAACTTTTTTTATTTCAAGCTTTCGGAGTTACCTAGCAAGGGAGGCTGAGCATTAGACATTCAAATTAATTGAAAAGTAAAACAATTAAATTAATTAAACTATTAAACATTTAAATTAATTAAAATTTAAAACATTTGAATTAATTTAAATGTTAACATTTTAACTAATATAAATAATAGAATTAAAGTACGGGGTGCGGGGCTCGAACCCGCGACCTTCTGCGTGTAAAGCAGACGTGATAACCACTACACCAACCCCGCTGCGTGGGAGTGTTTCCCCTCGCATTTGCTTCATTTTTGAACGAAAATCTTTCATTTTTCCGGAAAAATGCCAATAAAACTCAATAAATATGTTTATTTTTTAATAATTTAATTAATTAATGCATTTATTTTCAAAGTTTTGAGGCAATAAGTGCAAATTCCAGCATTTAGCTGCACTGGCAGCATGTTGGGGTCCGCTAAGAGCCTACGGGCTGAAACTGCTGCGGCAGCCCGTTTTGCTGCAGCAGCTCGTTTTGCTGCAGCAGCTCGTTTTGCTGCAGCAGCTCGTTTTGCTGCAGCAGCTCGTTTTGCTGCAGCAGCTCGTTTTGCTGCAGCAGCTCGTTTTGCTGCAGCAGCTCGTTTTGCTGCAGCAGCAGGGCCTTCTAATATCATTGCGAAGCGTTTGCTGGCAACACTCTTCAAGAAGAATATCATCGAGTTCGATTAGGGCTTGAGCAGCAGCAGCAGCAGCAGCAGGTGTTTCCTGGCAAGAGTTGTTTCTTGTCTTGTGGCTGATTCTTTCCCCCCGAAGTGCTGCTGCTGCTTATCTATTTATCCAGTGCTGCGTGCCTTGTGTAAAACTTTGCATTATTCTTTTAACTATTTTTTATTAAATTTAATTTTCCTGGTAGACTTTTCCTTATTCAAAATGTTTAATTAATTGCGTTTATTGCATTTGGCCAGTTAAGATATTTCGCAGCTTAAAATGGCAGACGGTTAATGTTGCTGCATTCAATTAAGGAAGCTCCGCTGCAGCAGCTTCTGCTGCTGCAGCAGCTTCTGTTGCTGCTGCTTCTGCTGCTGCAGCAGCGGCTTCTGCTGCTGCAGCAGCTTCTGCTGCTCCAGCTGCTTCTGCTTTGCAAAATTCAAAAAATTTAATATTGGAAAAATTCAAAAAACTCAAAATTTGCAAAATTCAGAAAACTCAAAAGCGAAAAGTGCTGCGGCTTTGTTCCTTGATAGCGCTGCGGCTAGGAGGCATGCTGCGGCTGCCTGCAGCAGCCAGAGCCCCAATTAAGACTTTTGGCTCTTTGCTGCTGCTAACTGCTCAGTTGCAACAGCAGCAGCTGCAGCAGCAGCAGCAGCAGCAGCTGCAGCAGCAGCAGCTGCAGCAGCAGCAGCTGCAGCAGCAGCAGCTGCAGCAGCTGCAGCAGCAGCAGCTGCAGCAGCACCTGCAGCAGCAGCTGCAGCAGCAGCAGCAGCTGCAGCAGCAGCGCTGCAGCAGCTGCAGACAATTAGCAGCAAGCTTATTGCAGGATTCTTGTGGAATCCACTGCACGGCAAAAGAAACCTTGAACTGTAGGCCAAGTTTATGTTGAATTAGACCTCACTGACACTGTAATGAAGGCATTTAAGACAAATAAAAGCCAAAAGCCTGCAGCAAAAAGAACCCAAAATGCTGCTGCTGCTGCTGCTGCTGCTGCTGTTGCTGCACTTCAGAAAGCCACAGCTTCTGCTGCCTCTGGCGCTGTGGGATCTTGCCCAGCAGCCTAGAAAGCCAAAACAAATCAAATTTTTGCGGAATATTCTCTTTTTGAGTCAATTGAAATAAACATTTGCATGCAAATGAAACAAAAAGGTAAAAAAAAGCAGAAAAGAACAGTTAAAGCGAATTCCACAAACTAAAACTGACACTCAGAGGCCCCAGGGGGCCCCCGGCTTCCTCTGCTGGGCCAAACTGCTGCAGCATTTGCTGCAGAAGACCCATAACTTCTTCTGCAGCACTTCCCCCATTAATTAGCCCTCGGGGGGGCCCCTGGGGGCCCCTCGGGGGGCCCCCAAGTGGACCCCTGGGGGGGCCCCAGGGGGCCCCTCGGGGGGCCCCCAAGTGGGCCCCTGGGGGGGCCCCAGGGGCCCCCCAGGGGGGCCCCCAAGTGGGCCCCTGGGGGGGCCCCAGGGGCCCTCCAGGGAGGCCCCCAGGGGGCCCCCCTCAGGGGCCCCGCAGGGGCCCCTGAGGGGCCCCTGCGGGGCCCCATGACACCTCAAATTGAGCCTCCGCAGGAAGCAGCTTCGGGCCAAAGCCTTGCAAGAAGCTCTTAAACAAATATTAGCAGCACTTTTGGGGGCCCCTCAAATGCTAGTTAGCCTTCAGGGAGCCCCCAGCTGTGGGGGGCCCCCCTGAAGCTGCTGCCCTGCTGCAGCAGCAGCAGGGCAGCAGCTGCTGCAGCAGCAGCAAAACAATATTTACATTTTATGCCATTTGCTGCTAGCGCGCGCAGCAGCCACACACTCCACGCTCTTGCATTTGCTGCTGGGCCACACAGCGTTTTGCTGCTGAGCGAGTCGCAAGAGCCTCCAGCAGCAGCAGCAGCAGCAGCAGCAGCAGCAGCTTCGGGCTTTGCGGCTGCACTGCAGCAGCAGAAGCAGCAGCAGCAAGGGCAACAGCAGCAGCTTCGGGCTTTGAGGCTGCACTGCAGCAGCAGCAGACTCTGTGGCCCCACAGGTTCTGCTGCTTTTGCCCAGAGCTTTTTTGCTGCTGCTGCAGTCCACATTCCAAGTTGCTGCTTAAAATGTCAGGAGACAGTCAGAGCAAGTCTCTGCCTTTTGGTGCAGCAGCAACGTGACAGCTGCTGCTGCTGCTGCTGCTGCTGCTGCTGCGCGGCACTCAGCTGCCACTACAGTGCGCAGGGTGCCCAGTCTTCTAAAGAGCTCTGAAGCCCCTCAGAGACCAGCAGCAAATCAGTTTCTTCATCTTCCATCAACTTTTCTCCGCTGCTGCTGCTGCTGCTGCTGCTGCCGTTGCTGCCGCTCACTGGAGGCTTAACCGGCGCCGGCAGCAGCTTAGCTAGCACCTTCAGAGGCTGCTGAGACATGTGCTGCCCAGGCTGTCTGCTGCTGCTTCTGCTGCTGCTGCTGCTGCTGCTGCTGCTATGACGGGGAGCCACAGATGGGAAGTCCCCCAGAGCCTCTCCAGCCTTTTCCCCAACAGGGCGCACTGCTGCCCTGGCCCTTGGTGACTGGCTTTGCTGGGTCTCGAGCTCCTGCTGCTTTCGCTGCTGCTGCTGCTGCTGCTGCAGCAGCTGCTGCTGCAGCAGCAGCAGACTGCTGCCCCTTCGGGCGTCGTAGTCTTGAGCGTGCGAGCTCCTGGTGAGGGTGCAGCTAGAGATGCTGCTAAAGGAATGCCGCACGATGATCCTCTCTTGGTGGCAGTCCAGAGGTTGCCCTGCTGCTGCTGCTGCTGCTGCTGTTGCTGCTGCTGCTGCTGTTGCTGCTGCTGCTGCAGCCGGCTCTGTGGCTGCTGCAGGCCGAACACCGTCTGTGGATTCCTTCAACAAAGTTTGCTTGAAGCTCTTGCTGCTGAGAGTGCTGCCTTTGCTGCTGCTGCTGTTACTGCTGCGGCTGCTGTTGCTGCTGCTGCTGCTGCTGTTGCTGCTGCTGCTGCTGTTGCTGCTGCTGCTGCTGCTGCCGACAGCTGTTCTTGGAGTAGTGCATGCAGAGCGCAGAAAGGTAAAGGAAGTTTTGGGGCTTTCTTTTGATTTGCCCAGAGCTGAATCATCATATGGGTTTAGGCGGCAGGGCCCAGCAGCCCCACGCAGCAGCAGATCCTGTTCTTGCTGCTGCTGCTGCTGCTGCTGCTGCTGCTGCTGCTGCAGCAGCTGCTGCTGCTGCCGCTGCTGCTGCTGCTGCTGCTGCTTCTGCATCATCCGCTGCAGGTGCTGTTGCACGGAAGAGAAGATCCTCTCTCCACTGCCGGTGGAAACCTGCCGTGGAGTGTGGCATCCGCTGCTGCTGCTGCTGCTGCCGCTCTGCTGCAGCAGGCGGGGAGTTTGCTGCTGCCTGAAAATCCTTGGGGTCACTTGCTGCGAATTTGCTGCTGGCCGCTGCAGCTCTCGCAAGTTGGTGCTGCTGCCGCGGGCAATGCTGGCGCTAGGCGTTTCTTTGCTTCAAGAACAGCAGCAGCAACAGCTGCTGCTGCTGCTGCTGTTCGCCCCTGTTGCTGCTGTTGCTGTTCTCTGGGCGGCTTCTGGCGCCTGTGCGCTGAGCCTTTTTTCGCCGCTGCTGCTGCAGCTGCCGCAGCACGAGTAGCAGCAGCAGCAGCAGCTGCTGCTGCTGCTGCTGCTGTGCCTCTCTGAGAATACATGTGGAAACTCGAAGCAACTTTTGTCTAAGGATATGTGTCTGTGAAGTTCCGGCTAAGTCTGTGTGGCAGTGCATGCTGGTTTCGCCAGCTTGTGCTGCAGCAGCAGCTGCTTCGTGCTGCAGCAGCGCAGCAGCAGCTTCTGCTGCTGCTCCCCAGGGCCCGACCCAGCGGGCTTTCGTTGCAATTAGCTCAAATCTAAAAAGCTGCAGGCTTCTGCAGCAGTTCACTAGAAGCTATTTATTTACCTACTTACTTTATTATTTTTTCTATTTATTTGCCTATTTAATTTCGCTGCTGCTGCTGCTGCTGCTGCTGCTGCAGTGCAAGCAGCCTCAAAACTTGCCTTCAGAGAGGGTCGCGGAGGCGCTGGGCTTTCCTTAGAAGGGGACGTTTCCGCGGTGTCTTCTTGCTGCTGCAGCTTCTTCCTGCAGCAGCAGCAGCAGCAAACAAATAACAATGACTCTAGCAGCAGTGAAAGCCAAATGAAAACTGCTGCAGCAGCTGCAGCAGCAAAGAGCAAAAGTGGCACTGGCAGCAGCGAAACCCAAAATAAAACAACAACAGGAGCAGAGGCAGCAGCAGCAGCAGCAGCAACAGGTGCAGCAGCAGCAGTGCACGGCTTGCATGTTGTTGCAGCTCTGCTTCTTTTTTATTATTTTAAATTTAATTTTATATTATTTAAATATTATTTTTTATTTTAATTAACTTAAAACTCTTACGCGAGTCCATTTGCTTTCAGCCTTTGCTGCAGCGCCAGTTCCTTAACTTTGCTCCTGCGCAGCTTCAGTTCCTCGAGGGGAGTCAGCTGCTGCTGCTGCTGCAGCAGCTGCTGCTGCCTCAGCCGCTGCCTTTGCTGCTGCAACAACAGCAG